GACGAGCAGGGTAAGCTGGCCACAGGGAGAAAGCAGAGGTAATGAACACTTTCTTCTCTTCTATTTTTACTGATGAGCTGGGTGGTTATGATAAACAAAGTAAAAACTACTCTAATAATGGCCTAGACAAAGCCCAGTGGCTGACTGAGGTGGAGGTAAGAAAGGGGCTTGAAAACCAAACACTAATAAATCTCTGGGACCAGATGGCATGCATCCAAGTGTCCTAAAAAAACTGAGTCTGGTTATTGTCAGACCATCGTTTAACATTTTTAAGGACACATTAAGGACGGGAGAGGTACCAGAGGACTGGAGGAAAGCTAATGTGGTGCTGATATTCAAGAAAGCTTCAAGATAACTAAAAGCCAGTCAGCCAGGTAACTACAGGCCAGTCAGTCTTACATCAGTAATATGGAAGGTTTTTAAATGGGAATGGTCAGGGACTATATTGAACAGTTTGCATGTGTGAATAGTATCATAAGAAAGAACCAACACGGATTTATGAAAGGCCTTTCTTGCCAGACAAATCTGTTAACATTCTATAAGGAAGTAAGTTGTAAGGTGGACGGGGGAATCCCAGTTGATTTAGTCTTTCTAGACTCTGCAAAGGCATTTGACACAGTACCCCACAAACGGTTAGTATACAAACTAAGGTTGATGGGCATTGAAGTACTAATATGTACATGGGTAGAAAACTGGTTGCAGGACCGCATCCAGAGGGTAGGGATAAATGGTACATTCTTTAAATAGTCCAAAGTGGTGAGTTGAGTGCCCCAGTTCAGTCTTGGGGCCAATCCTGTTTATCTTGTTCATAAATGACATTGAGGACATAAAGGACATTGCAAATTAACCAATGTAGATGGGCTGGGCAGACTTGGAGTATCGTCAGCTCGAGTCCTCCCACTGATGAGAGCAACAATGTAATTCACTGCTGCTGATTAAAGAGAAGCACAATGGGGCACTTACTAGACATTTGGATGCATCAGAATTTCCGAAATAACGAATCTGAATGTTTGATAATGAAATTCGGATACAACCATGGGGCTGCCATTTACCGCTCTCTGCACTTGTATCTCAAATGACTGACATCAGGCAGTGGGCGGAACATTAGCCAGCCTGCTATTGGGTATTGCAATTTTAAATAGCCAATAGCAGGCTTTGTTTATTTCTGCCTACTGCCCGATGTAAAGGATTTTTTTTCTAAGGTGTTGTGTATTTATTTAATCCTTTAGTGAATGAGTAGGGTTACAAGTACCCCTTACTCATTCAGAGGTGGCATCTGGGTTCCCCCTTTATGAAAGCGAGTGTCCAGATGTGTCCAGATGTATCCCCTGCACTCCAGTGTTTAGGACCATATAGTAAAAATGGTGGTGCTCGCAGTGATGATCACGGATGGTGCCCTGCAATGCCAAGTCTTGATGCAAATGAAGATCACCAGCACTCGATGCATACATGCAAATTCTTGTTTCTATTTATTTCAAACGGTGCGTCACGTGCAAAAAACGTTTTGCACGTGACACACCTTTTGAAACAAATAGGAAGGGGGTAAGTAAGGGTCTGGTATGGCATTTTATGGGGGACCTCATTTTGTTTTTTAACTTTTTTGGCATTGTTCCCCCTGAAGGGTCTGGTATGAACTGCTAAAAAACCTCACACTGTTTATTTTTTTACATCAGGGGTCCCCCATTAAAGTCCTAACAGACCTAAAGGGTCTGGTATGATTTGGGGGGGACCATACACTTTTTTTTATGGTGTCAGAGAATAAAAAGAAACAAAGTAAACATGTAATGTCACTTTTCTGCAACACATTTTAGTTGGTAATGATCATTTAACTCATCTGAAATTAATGAAATGCGGATTCCAAATGCCAAAACAAATTGACTTTCAGACCCGAAAAACTAAAACACAAAGCATCCGAAACAAAAACAAACAAAGTCAATTTTTTGCCGCCTTACATGTCTAACACTTACACGACCAATGGACCCGGTCAAGGCAAGCATAGAGCCACTGACCTTATAAACAGGATATTGGGGCAAGTGAGCCTGGGCAAGCAGAGCACCAATTATTTAGTGGCTGTAGCACTAAATGATAAAAGTACTCAAGAATGATCCAAGGTAAGCAAACACTAAAAAAGGTGCATTTTTAGTTCTGACTGGAGTTCAGCTTTCAAAGCCAAGGTTTCTATATTGTACTTTTACCTGAGTTACCATTTTGTGAGCCCTAGACATTTTCCCCCTGCAGGTCCCCACTCCATAGACCACCAAAGCCCCCCAAAACAGTGTAAATATGGTGAAACCTTATTTGCTAAAAGCAGATCTGAGAACATGGGTGGCCATAATATATAGGCACAGTTTAAAAGAACATTGGGTAAATAGCGGTAAATCAACACATCGTGTAATTCTAGCCACATTCAATTCATGGGCACATGAGCAGTCCGTGTTTTCACCATGAATATCACAGGATCCATGTGCAGTCAGTTTACCCATATGCGGTCAGGGTTGCTGGATATGATTGTAAGAATCAGCCAAAGTTGTTTCATAACTAGTCAAAAGTTAGCCAATGGCATTCCAAAATTATCAAATGATTAAAAAGGGGAGAGTCCAGATTCTGTTCTCACAATCATACTAGCCTTACCCTTAGTGCAAGCAAAGAGAGGAGTGATGACAATGAATTAGTTATTCTGCAATTCTTTTTGTTTGCAGCAACTTTCCAGCAAGCTGGTCTAGACAGTGAGGGGTATTACCCCCATTCATTACTATACCCAGCCTTCCACAGCCTATACTGCATGGGTGAATAGTGTCCATACATAAAGTCTAAAGGGAAAGACCAGTCAGTAGGGATTAGCTTCGGGTTTGGGTCTGCTATGAGTTCAACCTAAACCCAAGCTGTTCACAGTTTCAGAGGCAAAGAAAATTCCTGGATTTGACCAGTTGGCCTGCACACTTTTTTTGGAGAGTCCCCCTTAAGCCTCGTTAAAATAATCTTTCCTTGCTGAATGGTCTGAATTATTTCAACCAGACCCCAAAGATTGCCTGGGATCCCCCTCAATATCCACGTCTATTTAATACCCCCCCCGCTGACCCCCAAATCCAGCAGGCCAGGGATGCATGAAAGCGGTCCTTGTCCCCATCAACATGGAGACATGGCACCTTGCCCATACCCTTGCCATAGTGGTATGATTCAGGAGGGGTGGCTGCATGCTTGCTGCCCCCTCTCCCTTTCCTGGTCTACCAGGCTGCATGAAGGTCTGGTATGGATTTTGGGGGGACCACATGCTATTTTTCTTTTTTTTTGAATGGAGGTCCCCTGCAAAATCCAAACTTGTATCAGCTGGCTTTGGAACTGTGCATGGGCAATGTTTATATACAGGATTGGTGATTGCTCCCATTCACATGTTTAAATGGACGGAATCAAACATGCCTTTTTTTTTTTTAACAAACAGTCCATGAATTAACAGACGGTTGGCAACCCGGACTCCACCTTTCCTGCAGTTCTAGACTGCCCTTGAGAAAGGGGAGAATTGTGAGTGGGACTCTCAGAGACCTACAATGCATGCAAAGCATTTCTAGCTCTTATAGTCAGGTGAAAGGTGGGCTGCTATGTGTATACTCATATTACATTACCAGCATACAGGACATGAGAAGCTCTACTGTGCAATGCCCATATATACAAAATAGGAGGCAGTGAGAATGCCACTCACATACAGGACATGCAAATTTACACTGTGCAATGTCCAAATATACAGAATAGGAGACTGAGGATTACAGACACACAGAGGACATGGGCAGTGCTACTGTCCAATGTCCATACAGGGGTGCAGAATTCCTATAGCCCGATGCACAGAACATGAGGTCCCGGGCACCGAGCTGGTGGTTTGTTTTTTCTACATTTAGCCCTGTGGGCAAGCAGGGCTAAATGTAGAGCATGGGAGCCGCCATGCGTTTTGTACAAGTGTATAGCAGTCCACACCATCACCCCCCGCCATGGTTTTTTGGGGTCCCCACCCACAGCAAATGACCAGGATGGAGAACGGGAATCAAACCAGTTTTCTGATCAGCTCTGTGCGATCAGTGAGATAGAAGCACTGTACTCGCAATTCTTCCTGTCTCAGCTGTTGGACAATGCTGTGCTCAATCTTCTGCACTGGAGGGCAGGCTCTATAAGGAGGGCCTGTCACCTCCAAACGCTATTACATAGGGGCTTGTTATTCCCTGTGTAATAGCTATAAAGTTAAGTGACCAAAAAAATAAGATAAATTAAAAAAAAGGGATTCAAAAGTAAAAAAACAAATTAAAACCAACCCTGCCATCTGCATGCGAATGCACGTATAGAACATTGTGTGTGTACACTGAGTGCTGCTCCCATTCCACTGTGTGCCATATTGTGGTAGTGGGGCAGCAGCAGTCTCTAACAAGCACAATGTTCATTAAAGGGGAAGTCCACTTTCCCAAGTAATTTGGGAAAATTGAATCACCCGCTCAAATCTGGGCCAATCTCCCCCTTGCTATACTGACAAATGGTTCCTCCTCTCTGCCGGTACGGGTGTACTATCTGTATCCCATACTGCCGTCCAACGCAGCCTTGCGCATAGATTCTGAATTTTCGCTCATTGCAAGCACTGACCAATGAGTTCTTAGCACGGTCGAATGAGGTTTTGGTTAAAATGATTTTCTGTATGAAGTAGATTGGGCCCCTGCTTTAGTCTCTTGGACAAGTTTAAAAAAAAACACTTCCACACATCTGCCATATATACAGAATAAAAAGGTAGTGAGAATTGGGCCGAGCATACAGGACATGAAAAGTGGTACTGATCAGAGTCCATAAATACAGAATCATGTTGTAATGCCCACGTGTATATGTCCTTTTAATACTCATAACCAGCACACACAGTGCTCCCTATACAGATGACAGCCCCGGACCTGTCTCCTATAAGCTGTGACACTACGAGTTATGCAGGCTGGCTCACTCATGGAAGCGGGTGACCCCGGTGACACTACACAACACCCGACCGACCACCACAGGTCCCGCTGGAGTCCGGTGACGTCACCTCACAGACTCCGCCCTGCCGTGCTTCCTCCGCCGCGGACGCGTCTTCTTCCTCCTCCTCCCTCCTATCCATTGCTGCTGCTTCCGCCGCCGTTGTGAAAAAAAAGAGGAAGAAGCGACATTAACCTGAAAGAAAAAATAATCCGAGCCCAATGCCGCGGGGTCGACCCCCGAAACCACGGGCTGGGGACGGATCGCAGTCAGGTATAAAAATGCTTGCGGGGGTAGAGGGAGGACGGGGCCTGGTGTGGGCGGGAGCGGTTGGCTGTAAGCGATGTTAGGTTTGTGTGTGTGAGCTCATATAGTCCCCGGATATGGTGGAGAGGCCGGACTGTACGTGTTAGGTGTCTGTTCCCGGAGACTGGGCGGAATGATACGGGAGGGGGACGCAGCACCCGGACTACAGTTGCTGCTGGATGATAGCGGAGTGTGATGAGGAGGGTTCGGGCGATGATAAGGACTCGGGCTGTGTGCATTGTACATTATGTGTGCATAGAGAGGCCGAGTTACCCAGGAGCTTCCATATTGTGTACTGCTGCGTTATCCCAGTGAATGAACAGAATTGATAGCTCATGTATGTGCTCTGCACATAGGTCTGTGTACACTTTGCTGCTTTGAGTGCACAGGTTTAACCCTATGATGATGGTAGGTGAGGGCTAGTGAACACTG